GTGCCTAGAGACGCTGCTCGGAGGCTGGAGGCTGCCGCAACCGACAAACGAGCTGTGGAAGCCCCGCACACTGCTGATCGGACAGCCTGCTGATCCCTTTGGTAAGCCCAATTCTGGCTCCACCTGGCATTACCTGCAGCATTTTAGCATCGCAGCTGCTGTTGCTAATATAACGACCTGCTGTTTGGGCCAGTGTAGCAACAATTGTTCTCCTTTTCCATTCAGACGTCTCATTGCGCAAACTTAAGCGTCACACTTGGTTCCAAAGAAGGTGTATTACTCATGGCATTATTTATTAATCTCTCAATTTAACAACAGTCAGCCTATCCAAGGTGACATTCATTAAAGTTTTTTTTTACCCTCGGATGTTAAATGCAATACTTCATGTTTGTAAAACTTGATTTTGAACGTGTTCAGTTTGTTTGTGCTCTATTTCTAACTTCCAGCTGAAGTTACATTCAGTATTCTTTTGGTCTGTGCGATGCAAAGCAAAAATATATTTCTGGGGAATAACAGAAACAGCAGTGAAGAATATGCCTTTAAAAGTACTCAAGGAAACCGAGACTGAATGAAAAATGAGGACTTTTAATGTAAAATGAGTAACCACAAGCTTTAAACGTCATTTTGTGTGAATCAAAATAACTTTTAAAGGGTAGCTTTGCATGCTTTTTTAATTTCGATTAATAAAGCATGTTGTCCTGTGGCTTCTTTTGTATGTCAATGGCATTAGATAAAACATAAATACACTACTTGATCCTTTTAATGATTACATTCCATTTACATATTATTTCATGTCACTTTAGTGTGGTTTAAAACAATATTTCTGTAAGGCGATTTTTTATTTCCACTATAATGGCTCTACAGCGTACTGAGATATTTGGCCTTGCCGAGCCGCCGTAGAGATGGGAGATAACATGTCCAAGCGACTGAAGCTGATCTCGGGTACAGACGCAGAGATGGAGGAGCGCTCTTTTTCAAACCCATATCCCGACTGGGACCAAGGAGTCCTCACCTCCAACTCTGGAGCGGACGTAGATTGCAATGACACCCTTGATTCGGAAGGAAAGGTGAGATGTTTTCCCTCATTTTGGTTTTCACATCTGCTAACAGAAAGTAAAGCTAGCTTAGCCCAGGCTTGTTGTTAATACTACGGGACTGTTACGGTGTGGGAGTACCTGGCATTGAAAGGTGTTCGTTTATGTTAGCGCATATAATGGCTTAGCTGTGGTTTGCGTCTGTCATCAGTCTAAATGCAATAATATTACAAAGCTAGTCACTTTTTGTCAAAGTAAGTAAAAAATACAGTTTGTTTTAGTTCCCGCATCCGGGTCCTCTGGGTACATATTACAGTACAGTAATAATCGGTGAAGCTGGTGTTATGGTCTGAACTGACAGATCTTGGAGGTTTCTTTTACATAAACAAAAACAAAAAATAAATAAATCTGCAATTAAATTCCACATATTTTTCCCACTGACAGGTATGCTTCACCAAATATAATCGTATCGTAAGTTTGGTAGTCAACGTCTAATTTTAGGTTGTTTTTGAATCCTGCAAGTGAAAGTAACTAATTTTTTCATTGGCTCATATGAAGATGGTTTCACCCAACAAAATAA